CGCCCTCCCCGTCCCCGAGACACTCACAGTGTCGCGCGCCATCCCGTCGCGTGTACTCGGAGCCTCTTTAGGCTTCGTTTCAACGGCGATTTGTATCGCTGTAGTCGCCAACCTCCCACACTATATTGCCATACCACACTCATAGCAACTTTACGTGATCTGGCCGTATTGTCTCCGTTTTCTCCATGGAAGGCAGGAGCCATTAACTAAGAAGAAGAAGAAGAAGAAGAAGAAGACGACCCGTGTAATAGATACGTAATCTACCATGGTGCGGAGTAGCGACAAGTAAGTGACCCGTGTAACTGAGGTTATATGACACGCTTTTCGCTTTTATTTTGAACTCGTTATCTCGAATTAATTATCAAATAAACGTTCACGTAGAGACAGACACCACCGGCGGAGATCGAGGTCGAGGTCGCGATCGAGGTCGGCCGAACCCGAGAAGAAACGACGACGATCTAGGAGCAGGGACCGTGAGAGGGAGAGAGATAAAGGACGACATCGAGAGCGGAGGAGTCGTTCGCGGGATAGAGACAGAGAGAGGAGTGATAGAAGGGAACGTTCCGAGAGGGACAGGGATCGCGAGAGAAAACGGTATACTCAAGAAAAGAGTTTCAATCTGAAACAGTTGTTCGTGGTGTTCACTTTCCTCTCCTTGCTTCATGTTTTTTGTAGATGTTTTCAATAATAATTGTAACAACAAAATAATCCATTGACATTGATTGTTCTCGGTATACTAGTGGAGACAGTAAAGAAAAGCGTCTTACAGGCTCAAAATCTTCGCGCTCTGGCAAAGAACGATCGAACAGGTCCCGTTCCCGTGATAGAAAGGATAAAGAAAAGGGGGACAATGAGGAATTACCTTTTGATCACACAAAATTAGACAAGGTGAACCTTCAAAGATTATTGCTCGGTCCACAACTTTGCTTTAAGAGGCCTTAAGTCATTGGTCTAAAGAGATTAAGTGAATTTCTGTCTTTAAACTGTTTTTGCGCAGTCTTTAACTGTTAGACTTAAGCGAATCGAGTAAAATTCAATTCTTACGACCTAAAAGCATAAATTCTGTGGCTGATATATCGTCGCTTACAACTTACAGCTTACAGCTTACAGCCTCTTAAAAAGCAAGGTTGTGAACTTAGCCTAAGTGATGAAAAACAAGCAATATGAAAATTTGTATTGTAGGAGGAAGAGCAAAAAAGGCTGGAATTGGAAATGCAAAAGAGAAGAGAGAGGATAGAAAGATGGCGAGCAGAAAGGAAGAAGAAAGAACTGGAAGCAACCAAAAAAGACGGTAAGACATCTATTTTGGCAAATCTTCAGCTACCCATGAAAAAGTGGTCCCTTGAGGATGATAGTGATGAAGAGACTCCTGTGGTACAGAATAACAAGGAGGCAAAAGAAGAAGGTGCAAAGGAAGAAATTGAAGAAGTAAATGAAGAGGTAAAAGATAAAGAGGAGGAGATTGATCCACTTGATGCTTTTATGGCAGAGGCAAGTATTACTATAATTTATATACTCAATTTGATTTTATATATACTTACGTCTAATTAATTCAATAGGTCCAAGAAGAAGTGAGAAAAGTGAATAAATTTGATGGTAAAGCTCCGAAAAATGCCAACAATGGCACTAATTCTGCATCACAGAGCGGTGGTGTGGTCATTGTAACTGGCGTAGCTAAGAAAAAAGTGCAGAAACAGAAAGGAGAATTGATTGAACAAAATCAAGATGGATTGGAATACTCTAGCGAAGAAGAGGGCGAGAATCTTCACGAGACTGCGGCCGGTATAGCAAACAAACAGAAGCGAGAATTAGCTAAAGTTGATCATGCTACAACAGAGTATCAACCATTCCGAAAGTCTTTCTATGTTGAAGTGCCTGAGATAGGTATGGCTATATTTTTAAATTATTTATTTTCTAGTGTATGTTTTCTATTGTATAAATATATATATATATACATATTTACTCATTTACTATATACTTGCAGCAAGAATGACACCAGAAGAAGTGGAAGCGTACAAAGAAGAATTAGAAGGCATTCGCGTGAAAGGTAAAGGTTGCCCAAAACCTATCAAGTCTTGGGCGCAATGTGGCGTAACTAAAAAGGAATTAGAAGTATTAAAGAAACTTGGTTATGAGAAACCGACACCTATTCAATGCCAAGCGATTCCAGCGATCATGTCTGGTCGCGATCTCATAGGTATAGCGAAAACCGGTAGCGGAAAAACGTTAGCTTTTCTTTTACCTATGTTTCGTCATATACTCGATCAACCACCGTTAGCCGACGGTGACGGACCAATCGCGTTGATTATGACACCAACTAGAGAATTGTGTATGCAAATTGGTAGGGATTCGAAAAAATTTACAAAATCGCTGGGTCTTTCGCACGTGTGTGTCTATGGTGGAACCGGCATTTCTGAACAAATAGCAGAACTTAAGAGAGGAGCTGAAATCATCGTATGCACACCGGGAAGGATGATCGACATGCTTGCTGCTAACAGCGGACGAGTGACCAATTTACGTCGAGTAACGTATGTAGTACTTGATGAGGCTGACAGGATGTTTGATATGGGTTTCGAACCGCAGGTGATGCGAATTATGGAGAATGTAAGACCAGATAGACAAACGGTACTGTTTAGCGCAACGTTTCCACGACAAATGGAGGCGTTAGCCAGAAGAATACTTACGAGACCAGTCGAAGTACAAGTCGGTGGGCGTTCTGTCGTTTGCAAGGATGTGGAGCAGCATGTAGTTGTACTTGAAGAAGATCAGAAGTTTTATAAGTTGCTTGAGATCCTTGGACATTATCAAGACAAAGGCTCCACCATTATATTCGTAGACAAACAAGAGAACGCAGATACGTTGCTCAAGGATCTTATGAAAGCTTCATATTCTTGCATGTCTCTTCACGGCGGTATAGACCAATGCGATCGAGATTCAACCATATTGGATTTCAAAGCGGGACGAACAAAATTACTCGTAGCCACGTCCGTCGCCGCTAGAGGCTTGGATGTCAAACATTTAGTATTGGTTGTCAATTATGATTGTCCTAATCACTATGAGGATTATGTGCACAGATGTGGTAGAACTGGTCGAGCAGGAAATAAAGGGTAAGATATAAACCTTTGAATTTTTACACACACACACACACACACACACACAATATATAAAATATTTATTTCAAATTTATTATGATTTGTTTCCCCTTCAGATACGCGTACACCTTTATTACATCAGAGCAAGAACGTTACGCTGGTGACATTTTACGTGCGCACGAGTTAGCGGGCGTACCTGTTCCAGAACCCTTGCGCCAATTGTGGGAAGGTTACAAAGCTCGCCAAGCCGCAGATGGAAAGAAGGTTCATACTGGAGGTGGTTTCAGTGGCAAAGGATTTAAGTTTGACGAATCAGAGGCTGCTTTGGCGAATGAAAAGAAGAAATTCCAAAAAGCAGCCTTGGGACTGCAAGATTCCGACGACGAGGACATAGAAAACGATATCGACCAACAGATCGAGAGTATGCTAGCGCCTAAGAGAACTGTTCGTGAAATTGCCAAACCAACCGCGGCCAGTGTTACAATTCCCGGTCAACCTATTCCTAGTGCCACTGATAAGCTCGAATTGGCTAGAAGACTGGCGTCGAAGATAAACATTGCAAAGAATCTGGGCGCTGAAGCGAAAGGCGCTACTCAACAAGCAGCGGAAGCCATACTCAAGGGTGCAGGACCTACGAATCTTATCACGGTAAAATACTAGTTTTTTCTTCGAATGTTACTGTATATAATAATTTTACGATCGTAAATAACTATTTTTTTTCTTTTATACAGGCAAAAACAGTCGCGGAACAACTAGCAGCGAAGCTAAATACTAAGTTGAATTATCAGCCACGCGAGGAAGATCTCGTAGAAAGTGATGTGGAAACGGGCGAGCAAACATTCCGCAAGTATGAAGAGGAGCTCGAGATCAATGACTTCCCGCAACAAGCGAGATGGCGAGTCACAAGCAAGGAGGCACTTGCTCAAATCTCAGAATATTCTGAGGCAGGTTTGACAGTGAGAGGAACGTATATCGCACCTGGGAAAATGCCACCAGAGGGTGAGAGGAAGTTATACTTGGCAATAGAATCGACGAGCGAGTTGGCGGTCAGCAAGGCCAAGGCGGAAGTATCTCGACTCATCAAGGAAGAACTTATCAAACTGCAAGCGTCTGGTGCTCACACTGCATCGCGAGGTCGCTATAAAGTTTTATAAAGTTTTGGGATCATTTTAATGAAGTATAATGTCTACCGTAAGGTTGTCATACGCATACGCGAATGTATATGATAAAAGTTTAGAGATTTATTATACATGCAAATAATGTGTTTGTTTTTAACAAACTACAATAACAAGATATACTTAACGATTGTGAGAGCATTATTTATATCATTGGCACAAACCACTGCAGGCAATCCAAGTTTTCGCATATTTATAAATAAAATGCGAGCACCCACATTATTCCCTTAATGATATTTCTTCTATTTTATTTATTTACCTATACGAAATAAAAATTCGAACGAACGTTCAGTAACGTAAAAAAATCGCACGCAACATACGCCAGTCATACGTTAATAACAATTCTTAATAAAATCTTACGTTGATAACGTTCAGCATTCTTAATAAAATCCTACGTTAATTTTTTTTCTATCGAACAAAATTAACCTTAGCTATACACACACTGGGGTCCCTGAAACCCCAATGTAATTTGCTAAATCGAGATTTTTTTCGTGTTTCTGAACTTTTCTGTTCCTTGAACCTATATATCTCGAAGCTCCTTAATTCTATCGACTTTTACGCATTGTGGACTTGTTCCTTAATCAATTCTCCATCGATTGACAAAAAAAAATTAATTGAATGTCCATTTTTACGGAAGTTACGATAACAAATATGAATGGGGTCCCAGGGACCTGAGCATGTATATCAAGGGTAGAAAAAAAGTGTATAGCTAGAGTTAATAACGAAAACTCGAAAGAATGAGATTATTTCTTTGAATGATATACTTCTTCGAGCTTTTTGTATAAAAATCACATAAGTGAACACACGATATACTAATGTCAATCAATACGCGATATATGTTAACTTAAATTTACGGAATCTTTTTAATTATTTAATTTATAATGAGCAGTTCTTGATTATCTGCGACGAAATAACGGATTACACGCGCAGGAAATCGTATATTTTTGTACATACACTCTCATTATGTATACTCTTTCCTCTTTGGCAATATTAATTGATAACTAAAAATACATTCTGCTGTACGCTATTAGAAGGCACTAGAAGAATCACAGACACGAGACACGCTGTAGACATTCGTCGCCGCGAATGCATCGCGATTAGGTAAACTGTAAAGAAATACTTTCAACAAAGCAGAAAATAAGATTAATCGCTCATAGCTGCATCTATCCTTGACGATAATAAATCTCGGATATCTTACGCGATTCATTAAAAATTAAAATGTACTTTATACACTATTTACTTTGGATTTGACAGAATAAGAGCGATGTATCTTATTTTCCTTTTGGCTTGATTGTAACTCAGGATAAAACGTTTAGCAAGAAGATGGTAACGGCAACTATCGCGAGCCAAGCACGAATATTCGTAGCATTAGAAATATAACTGTGGGCTATCTCGGCTCTGCTCAGTGAACCCAGAGGTACTTCCGCTGCGATTAGAGGACTCCTCTCCGAAATCCTAGTGACGAGCTTCTCCGTTTCCGTCACGCAAGCTCGCAATTGCAGCATCGATGGCTTCTTGGTGATGGGCTGTACGACTATGAAGATATCGCGATCGGGTGTCATCATGCCACGAAGAGCGCATTGCGCTACTTGCAGTTGGCGACCTAGAGCGACCAAGAGAGCTTCTAGAGTGACGGAGTCCTTATCAGTTTCCTCATCCATCATATAGTAGATCCTGTCCACCTATATAATAAATAAATATTAGATTATAGATAATTCCAAAGTCTGAAAGACATCTCATTTGAGAGTATCTACCTGTTTCTTCGAGTAGAACAATCTTGCCGCTCCTCCACAAATAGGACAACAAGCACCAGGAGGGGTGACCCCAATGCAATACGGCTCCTTTAAGGGAGGACACTGTACGGTATCACCGCAGCGAGGTTTCGTTTCATCGGCTATGAGACCAACGGCGACACAAGGACCTTCGTAGTCTACGACGACCTTGTCGGCCCAAGCCGCGCATTCGTTAGTGTAGACTTCGCCGTTGATGCCACACACCTGATTCCGAAGACTGCATCCTTTTAGACAAGGTCCTCTGTAACTTAGTGTGGCTCCAGCTCGGATCATCGCACACACAGAAGGATACTGGCGATTCTCTTGATCGCAAACCGGTCCACTGGATTCATCACGCGGATTGCAATCTATCGGCACGCATTCGTATTGCCGGCATGGTTTGTGCAAAGCAGTCAAGCAAACTCTAGGTCTACGGACGCATCTCTCTGAGCTGTCGCAATGATTAGGTATGCAGGGATCCCTGCTAGAGCAGCTACCGAACTCCACCTCAGTGGTCGACAACCCGGCGCAATTCGCTAGGCAGGCGGACGCGAAGGTGAAACCTAGTCTGCCGCAAACTGGGACATAATGAGCCGGACAATCGCAGGGCAAAGATAACATTCGCAGCTCGTCACAGCTCCTCTTGGAGCACGTAAACTCGCCTTCGAAACAGTGGCAGGAATTACAATCGAGGTAGAAGTGGCTTTTGTGTTGGATAAACCGATCGTGCACCCAGCAGGATTTGAAGTTGAAGCAATTGAGCGTGCGACACTTCTCCAGGCCGCGCGTCGTGCATTGGCAGATCTTCAGGCAACCCTGCTGATCAAACCGAGGGATCTGGATCCAAGATCCGACCGGCACCAATTGTTTCGACATCTCGCCGAGAGAACAAGCCGGCACGCAACGATAAATCTTAGCGCCGTTCGGTTGGACCACACAGAGCTGACCCTGTGGACAAGGATTCCGCTTGCATGGCGTCGTGATGTCCTCATCAGGATGAATCACAGCTTCGTCATTCTGTGAATTATCCAGGAACGGCCCTAACGAGACGCATGGAGCGTCCGGTCTACCCGGTGATAGTTTGGCGCACAAAGTAGCCGCTGTGTGGGATCCGGTGATTGAGCTCCAGTCCACACAACTCGCCATCAATTCTAAACAATCCTCGCGACAAAGTCGCGTCTCGTGGATTCTTGTCTCGCAAGGTCGCAGCTGTAGAAGACAAGCCGCCGCGCGAAGAGTCTCCGCTGGACAGGAAGCGGCGACGCGTACGGGCACACCTAATCCACGAATAATGCTTCCTCTGGACCAGTGATCGGCCTCCCATTTGGCTGCTTCGTCAGCCGCAGTCGTGCACGTTCTAGTAAGAAATTAAATTTTCATTGCATTTCATTGCATTCATTTAAGAAATTAAATATTCGATTATATATGACAAGCCCAATTTTTTTAAAAGGCTTTAAATTTTATCAGCACCACTCGGAGTTAATTTTAAAATTCGACTTTCTAATTACTAATTACTTCAAACTATTGACATGACCAGATCTTAATTCACTCACGGTTCGTACCTAAACAAAGTCGTAGGTCTATCGTTAAACCGCGCACAGTAAGACAACCCGGAACAGCCTATCTCGCAAGAGTCGTCCGCATCTTCCAGACACCTCCTCAGTTCTCCTTCTGAATTGGACGAGAGACACTGTGCGTCTAATTGTACCCAAGCGGTCTCCCAGTCTGCCTGAAAGGCTCGCCAGCATAAATTCTGACAGAAAGGCCTTGTCGCTTTCGTACAACACGCCAATTTGCCAGCGTTCAAGGGTAATCGCGTCGGTTTCGTCGAGCCCGATTTTAGTAAGCAGCTCCACATCGGTGACTGAGGTAACACGGGACTGCATTTCTCCGCTAGAGCATCCATGATCTCCTGGTCGGTCGTCGCAGTGTGGAGAATACTGCGACACGTATCCAAGCACGTCGCAGTCGTGGCTTCGTCGCAACAGTGCAAATCTACAGAAATATAATTAACTAATTTTTACGACGTAGATGCCTCAATGATCATTCGCTGATATCAGTCAACGAACGATTAATTAAAGTGTATGAATAGATTAATCTTCTTGCTAAATTAAATTAATCTTTTTGCTAAATGAAAACATTATTTTTATAACAATTTAATTATTATTAAATTTTTATTAATTAATTAAAAAATTACGATACATTATAAATGCCAAAGTCTATGTGCATTTTATTATTATATTATATATATTATAAAGTAATTATAATTTTTTAATACTATTATAAAATTAATTCAATAATTATTTGAAATTAATAATTTGATAATTATTTGCGTCTACTCCATATAGATCGTATCACGGTTTTTTATGAAATGATAACTAACGCTGCTTCGGATCCTCGGTGTGTTTCACCTCAGCTATACTTTTCAGACACTTGGGGATTTGATGGAAGCAACCCTTGCTGCTGTACAGCTTCAAATTAGATTGTTTGCCAGGCTTATAAAAAATATCCTTGCAGATAGCCCTGCATGTGTCATTGGAAACGTTACTGCAGCATCGTTCGGACTCCTCGCGCTTTTCCAGGCAGAAGAAAAACTCGGGTTCGTCGCTCGGTCGGCAGGATTCGTTCAGATCATTTATGGAACCAGACAGAGCGCAAGTCGTGCGACACGTTGGATTTTGAGCGAGACGGCAACATCCTCGACCCGTCCAATCCTCGTTCCTTTTGAGCTCTATAAGAATTCAAATAATTCGATATTTTGCCGCAACATTCGTTGCACACTTGACTACTCCGCTTACCATTTAATGTCGTGTTCACGCAAGACCAAAAATCCAACTGAAAGAAAAAAGAGTTGAATGAGGGAGGACATTGTAGTCGAAAAAAAATAATAAAAAAAGAAAGAAAGAAATGGTGAAGAAAGTGAAGTGGCACAATCGACCGATCTCGCGCGACTGCGAGTCCGGAGATCATCTTTCATTAAATCGTCACCGCGAAATGAAAAAACTTGGATCGCGTTACAAACATCCCGAACCGTTTAAGGTGCCCATTGTCGAGAGGCTTCCGATCCAGATCTGAGCTGAATGAAGAGAACAAACGAGTGTCGATTGCGTGGGATCGAGTCTTAGAAATAAAAATCGTGTGACAACTCACCAGCTCCATGGAACAAAACTCCAGCAGACGTTGAGTGGCGTTTTCCCTCGCTTCGATCTCGGCACCCAAGACTACCAAGGAAATCTATATAAAATTGCGAACAAATTATCTCTAATCCAAATCATAATATTATTATCTTGACAAAAAAATAAAAGTAATTGCGATAAAATTGCAAAGAAAAGTCGTAGCGTGAATAAAAATTATTTCAGAACGTCGCGGATTGAAGATTTAAAATTACTTTGAAAAGAAGAATATAAATGGTAATAAAAGCAGTCATGTAGAAGGAACTCTTTGCATAAATGTGTAAATTATTCCGATGAGTTGGACTTCGAAGCGTTAACTCCTTTAATGTCTGTCTCGAATCGAACGTCGAGGACTTCCTAAATTCGAAATGCGGTGCGGCGCATTAGCGGTCATTAAGAATCAAGGACACGAATGCAACACACATGGGCCCCGCGATTTCCTGTTGCCCGTCACTGAATGACAATCGTCCTCGGGGCCGAGATATCGCTCGCGCGTTTCGTCCTCATCCCGGATTCAATCGGCGTCCTCCGCGAGGACACACCGGATCCACTCGGTATGTCTATCACGGTCAAGAGTTACGACCATCCATCAATATGCGGTGGGTCCCACCGGACCCTGGCGATAGGCCCAGTCAAAGGTTACACTCGACCACCGAACGTAAATCATCGATCACTTGTTCGTATATTTCTTTCCGAGTAGCATTTTTAAAAATTAATGTGCAGTTTTTATCAAGACGACAAATCACATTACATTGTTATTAAAATAACGCGTTACGTTAAATATTCGATGTAGGTATTTCTGATGGTGTTTTTATTAACTTCATCATCATGTGTGTACGAAGAGATTTATTTTATAATTTAATATAATCTAGCAATATCTCCAGAATATTTTTATCAAGTTCGGTTGTTATAAATGTTATAGAGGTGAAAGTGATGTGGAGTTGAGAAAACGGCGTATGTACGTATTTCCGTCGTGGTATATTCTGGGAGGTATGCGCAGCCGGGTTACATCGCCATGCTGAAAGGGTGCATTTTCCACTGGCAAATTTTTCGCGGCGATTTTAACGTCGAGAAGTATGTTGATGATGACAAATTTCTATTTTCTGTTAAACACGAACGTCTTCATAATTCTATACGAACTGAATATCATGATGAACTATAAAGATGATGCGAGACGAAAAATAATTTCACCATTTCTCTGTTTGTAATGTCGCGATTAAAATTGACGTAAAAAATACTCGTTCGCAAAAATCTCAAATAAACGTTACTTTGAAGCTCATATATTTCGGACCAAATACATCACCACGACGGCCTCCGAGCGAAAGCCGAGATCAAAAGATACCAAAATAGAGCCGCAGCTTTTATAATTTGCCTCGTGCTCTCATTTGCCAAAATCCCAAACGCCACAAACGGCTATGAAGTGTCGATCGACTAATTAAATTGGTCATCTGCAGTTCTCTCTAATACGATCCGTCATACATACTCAGCTTTTGTAAAATTTAAAAATAACATCGATATGCTTTTGAATTATTTTTCTGATATAATATAATTTTTATGTTAACTATAAAAATATATATAACATAATTTTATAGAAAAAAAACACTCATTTGTCAAAAATGTATTTTTTAATGTGAAAGAGAAGGAACAACGAAAATACTGCTGCCTAAAATAAGAAAATAATTCTTCGGATAACTGAAGCATCAAAAGAAACACCGTCTTTGAATTCGGTAAAGTCGTCGGGGGGCAGCCTATTACTTGCCTCAATGACATATTTTTCCAATGTATTCAATGGTAAACTTGCCTCTAGAAAACGTATTGTATATTATGGATTAATTATATTTGATAAATATTTAATGGTTCCCATCACAAGTTTAACGAAATTTTACTTATACAGTAAAGTTTATTCTGAGACCACTTTCCTGTCCACCTCAAGAATAACATGTCACATATCTCAGAACTTTCGTCATGATTTCCGGTTATTTTACTGCTAAATGACCAAGAAGGAAGCGCTCATCAGTAGTCAAGGGAGAAGATCCGGAGAGACAGCTTTCTCAAAGTTTTTCTGCACCTCACGTTATGTTGTGTCTCACATTTCAATTGAGCAATATAACGTTTGAGATGCAGAACATTAAAAACCACAAAAAAATCATGTCATAAAATTTTTTGTAATTCTTTTAGATATTTATATGTAATTTTTACAATTGATTTTATTTCTTATTTCGAATTCAAGATTTGAAGTACATTGATATCGCGAATAAACTCACATCGCAATCGCTGCAGCAATAAAATATCCTTTATGGACAAGATCCTCTTGATAGATCCTCTTGTAGGATCCCTATTCCGTAATCAGAAATCAACAAAAGATTACCCAAAGTACATCCCCCTGCCTATTCCCCCACCCCGAATAAACTGCGTGGAGACACGATATCATTGATAACGCGTGGTACGTCCACCATGTTCAACGCGTCAATTCGTAATATTTGCGTATGAATGAGCCCGCGGGGCGCCCCGGAGGGGTCCCGCGTAAATCTCGCAGCGGGCCCCCGGTGTCTCCGATATTATCTTCGAAGAGGAGGCCCCCGCAGTCACCTCTAAAGAAGCTACAGCCGGGAAGCGCCCCACGTCGTGAAACCCTCATCGAAGGAAGCAACTTCGAAGGAGGATCTTTTTCTCATCTTTTTTCCCACCTATCCATTTCATTCTGCTTCTTTCTCTCTCTTTACCGTTCCCTTTTTATTTCCCGGATCCTAATATATCCGTGGACACGACATATTTCGTGTCCTTTATCGTCTCGGGTTCGGCCCACGGATATTTATCAACCGTGTGATATCGCATTCGGATTACGCTGTCGAGATTGTCTTTTTGAAATTCCCACGAGGCTCCTCCTTCCGCACATATAATTAATAGATTATATTCCGCGGCGTAGGGTCACGGTTAATTTCTTATCGCGATGAAAAAGGTGTACTAATTTTTATGCAGTTTCGGACATTAGTTTTTGCAATTTTAGATTTCACACATCGCTCAGTATTTTGCCTCCCGCCATTTACTGTCAATGTAAAATATTAAAACAGCTTTTATGTAGATATTATAATTATACATTATATATACCTTTATAGATATATTTTTTATATAACTGTAGATACAAATATCTATGTATATGTTAATAAGTTTGACATATACTGAACTTAATTTAATTACTACTTTTATTCTTGAATGAGAGAATTTCAAGAGATTCTCTTAAAAAATCTTGAAGAAGCGAGAGAGTGAAGTATGATGTACCTATTTAAAATGCGTACCTTGGAGCACACATTCCGACAGGACCCAGCAGCCAGCGAGCAGCAGGACATCTCTGTAACAGAAAGGAAAGATTAGTTTTGTGCATCAAAAGAGCAGATGGAAACTATAATCCGATAAACGGTCATACTCGAGAATATTTCCTCCACTTTTCCGCTGACATAAAACAGACGCGTATCCTGCATTACGTCAACATAAGAGAGGCAGAAAGGAAAAAAAAGGATCCGTTTTCAGGGGTCCTCACGAGGGTACATTAGTGTCAAAACTTTGCCACCCTGAGGGACCTCACATACAGTTTAGATTCGGAGACTCCGATTCACAAAAACAGAATTGAAGAATTTCATCCCGACTGAGGTAATTTTTGTCGCAATAAGTTCTTTGCAGTGTTTTAAAATACTTATTAGCATCATTATTAAATTAACGATCAATATAATTATTAATATATTTGTGATGTTATTTCCAGTTTCAGTTTATGATTGTGTTTCAAATCCGACAAACCAAATCGGCGCGCAATTTAGAAAACTAAAAAATTTATATGTGTGTAAATATTATTAAAGCATCAAGATCCGTTTAGACCGAAAATAAAATTCTTTTTCTTATTTCATTTTCGGCTGTATAAAATTACAAAAGATTGCTTTTACCGCTTTTCTTTACATTTTTGAATGGCAATTTTATATTCATTACTACGTCAATTATTATAACGGTGGAACGACTGTATTTACGTAACATTTTTTTAGAACGAGAAATAAAGTAGGACAGAAGTTGAGACGTGGACATTTCTCGTCGGTGTTCTTAAATATTAAAAGTTTCCGTTCCATCTAGCGACTGCAGTGGCGTGCAGTCGAGAAACATTCCGTATGTCCCCTTTCTTCCCAACGTCTTCAATTATTAAACGACTGGAGGGGAATTGTCCGGTACGTCATTTGGATCGAACAATCGAATAAAACATCCTGTTCTTCGTTCGAGAGCCTTCCATCGTATTTAACGACAAACTTTGGGCTCGTATGACGTTTCAAGAGAATTGATTTTCGAAGTTTCAAGCTTATCGCCAGTGGGCAGTTTGTTGCCCTTTACAATGCTTCGATTGTGACGTAATTACGTACCCCGTCATAACGCGCGTTTATTCCTGTTTTTATATTTCTGACGTGAATGGTTGTCAACGACTCCTCCCAACGTGTCACGTTTTGACGTGAAAGATCTTTAACGACTTTACCGGGTTAACATGCGGGTTCGATCAAAGTGACTCGTGTGAAAGGGGGTCTTTTGAATGGCGACTGAAATCGTAAGGGCCGCCGACCGTTCCAACACGTATGCACTGCGTTACAATGAAGCTAATAGATACCAATTAACAGCAAATTGTAGCTCCCTCCCTTTTCTCGCTTCATTTCGAAGAATCGTTTCGATTCCGATTATGTATATACGCCCGTACATACTGCAGAGTTCTTTTTTACAATCGTAATCTGAAGAAAATGAAGTTGAAGATACTTCGTGTATTCATAGTACAGAAATTTCTAGAAATATTATTCGAAGTATTCATTCGTAAAATTACAGAACAAGATCGTTTGAATTTCATGGCACTTACAAAGAATTATAATTACGGCCGTATTGTCGCGGGAATGGGAAATATCAGTCGCGTCCGGGATCGTTTGCATTCTTGAGCAAACAGGAGGGTGCTCGAGAGTCTCGGGGAACGTTCTCCTATTACAGAATAAATTACAGAACGTTTGGCTAGATATCGGTTTCGGTCACCGACACCTGGCACTTATCCGTTTGTCACCGAGTTTATTCACGTCTGGTCCTAAAATATCAGTAGGATGATTTGTGGAGGTTGAATCGTATTTTCTGCTCTCTCAACACGGTTACTATTATAGAGCGTGGAAACCTGCCATCGCTCACGTTTATCGTCGTGACTTCGACCGCACACTCGGGAGTTTTATTTCATTCTTTTTCTTTTTTTTTTTTTTTGCTTTTTTACTCATTACGCATGCGAGTGCGTTTTGCAATCATCTCGTCGTCGTAAAAACTCACGCGGGTCGTTTAAGACGGGCCTTTAATCGAATCCTTGCCACAAAGAGCCTTGACGTTTCCACGTGAAATTTCACCGCGACAAGTGCGTCGCGCCTTTAAACGCGGCGTTTTGTGGCTCCTGTTGCGGACGACACAAAAATAGCTGGCGTCGTTCGCGGCCATCCGGCGTTTACACCGATCTAAACTGCGGAGCCCCCTTCACTTTATCCCACCCGGTCTCGCTACCCAAGAAGCCGAAATGTTCGTGACTTTGACGGGAAACATCAGATCGACAAATCCAAATGGTACGACATGTGAACGCAATACGTTTTACTTTCAAGAAACACTTCGCTAAAATTTATCGAGAGGAAGAAATTGAGAGAGAAGACATTCTCAATTTTGAGAACATAAAAGACGGTAGAGGTGTAATTATATTACACACAAGGTGTCTCAAGGGAAACTGTTGAAATTAATCAGCTGTCATTTTTAAACGCAGTTTTATATCAAACGATACAAATATAGAGCATAATTTCAACATTTTCCAACTATTTTGTCAAGACATCTATGATAATGATCTACGAATTTGCTAAAGATGGTTTGAAGAAAACCGAAACGTCCAAATAAGTTTGTATAGACAGTCATTGTACAATTTTAATATATTATGTGAATATTATTTGACTATTATATAAATTGCGCACCAATTCCCGCGCCGTGTTAACGCTTTCATTGTCCGTATATTATATTATTGTTTTTTAATTTCGATTAGTATTTAAATTTTGATGATACAAATATGTCTGATTGTCTTTGCTTTATATATAAACAAAATTGTCCTGTATTGAAAAATATTTTACTTTTTCTATTTCCTATGTGCGTTTACAACTAACAGCTTAGTTTCAGCAACTTTCCATGTGACACCCTATAATTAACAAATTATATAATTAACGATAATGTAGTAACAATAATAATAATAATAGACTGTTACGAGAGGAATCGACGATGACGCTATGCCGAGAAGTGACAAACAACGCCTAATAAAGTGGACCGTTTAATTTGACTAATACAAAATTCGGCGGAGCGATTCCAGTGGCATTTTAAACGCTATTAATGCGCTCGATGAAGCGAGGCAGCTCGGTCTCCTGCAGTCCGTCGTCTCTCTGAAATTAGCATAACAAAATAGGAAACGCAGTCACGACAAATATAATAATATACTCGCGAATCCTTCCGAGAAACGATCGCGCGCGTTCATCTCATTGTATGGATTACACGTTGCGCGATCATAATGCTTTACCTCGAGGACGTGTTGTAAATTTAATTCGACGTTTTCTCTTGCGACTTTGTTTCTTGCTTTTCTCCTCTTTGTTTTTCAAACGTCGACACGTCGAACGCGCCTAATGCACATTCGCGTCGTGTTGATAATGACAGATTTCATCTGCAGTAAATCCGTCTGTGCGCCATAATCCGCAAACGGCGCGTCTAAATTTATATACGCGATGTATGTGTGATTTTTGCATAACAAAACCCCTAAGCCAGTCTCTAACGGGAATCTAAAAAAATGTTGCTGATAATTAACGGAAATATAAGAGAAATATTGTTGTACAGAAGCTTTACGTTTCGCGAGTTTTATCTCCGTATCCAGATCCATTATTAGAAAGCCAACGTTTCGTGAACATTGCAGTTCTCTAATTCATCAGGGTAAAGAGTATCAGATTGCTCTTCGCTCTGATGAAGTGAATTGCAATATTCACGAAACCTTGGCATTCTAATAATGGATCTGGACACGCGGAGGTAGCTCGCGAAATATATACAGTTTCTGTATAGAAAGTATCCATGAAAGCATAAAAAGCACTAGAAATATTTATTATTCGTATACTGAGAAAAATATATCTTGATATTAAAAAATAAGCTATTAAGACTCACCGAATAAATAATTTTTCTCAGTAAAAACAAATATATCTTGATAGAAAAAATTACGTAACACAAGAAAATTATTTATTCGGTGGATCCTAATAATAACTTATTTCTTTGTATCAAGATATTTTTTCTCTCGGTGTACATTAATCACCTTGGAAAGTAATAAAAATCACCAAACACGGATCATCTTGATCGCTCGCTTGATTAAGTCGGAATCACAGTCGATATCAATAATGCATCGCGGTGTCTGCAATATAAATCATTTACGTATCAATGTTTGTGTGTTCGATGGCATCCTGTCTACTTGGACGATCGGTATGTCGGTCCACGCGTGCCGAGACAATAAGCGTGTCTTCACCAGTCTTCACGCGCGTAATTTACAGCGAATTTCTCCGTTTCGCCGCGAATCTTTCTCGGAACGAGGCGAGCGCGTTTCCTCAACGAATTTAAACGAGCGACCCGAGGTGACGTCGATCGGCGGGAATGTGTCGTGCAATATTCGTTCCCTCAGCGCAAGCTGTCCGACTCCGTATGTATACACGACCCGCGACTCGCCGTTACATACACGGTCGCATAACTGCATTCGCAGCTGCGTCTTTTGGCTGCGACATCGTCGGCGTTACTGTCTCTCGTAAAAAAGAATGCGCGATTCTCCCATACTCTTATCAGCGGATATATGACTTATATATGAACACGATGACTCCAGAAACCCATCAGAAAAAGCTCTTTGCGAATTGCAATGCGTCGATAAAATTTTATTCCTCGATGCACTACCAATGTCTATTTCCTCTGCAAACAAGAATTCCAAATAGAAAAAAAATTGCTTGTTAATTTAATTTTTAATATTACTACTCTAATTCTCGTTACAATTGCGTTTCAAGACTAAAAATTTGGCGCGTAAGATTGAATATAAGTATATAAATTCATATCGAATTATCTAAGTATTATAAAAGACCTAGCTTGACCATTTAAGGCCTTCAATTCCTATTTATTGTGTATTCAAATTATAGTCTGAAAAGATACTATAAAAAATCTTTCTTTGCGGATAAGAAAACAGAATTAAGACAAGTCAGAAGGGATTTGTTCCTACGGAATGAAATGCTTAATCTTCGCAAGATAAATGAATGCAGAGATCAA